CATAGCACCCAGTTCCATACTTGGGCTGTGGTTGGAATGGAGAGAAACGCGCAAATGTACTGGAAGAAAGAACGCTCAAGCCCGGTGAACTTGGTTTGTAGCCAACAGAATATAATTTCTTTGAAGCGTATCGGCGCAGGGCGCTGTTGTTGTAAGAGGTCCAGCTGTGACAGGGGCTACAATTTGATGCGCGATAAGTTGCCAATCCAAAGAACCGAAAATATGCATTTTTGCTTCCAGTACCCATGGCGAAAAGTTGACAAGGAAACCAAAATGGTAGGACGCAAGCCACAGAGAGTTGAAACAGAGAATATGTTGAACAGAGAAACGATTTTTGATATATCTAGACATCCGACATGGCGTGTACGTAGCGTAGCGTAAGTGTATATTAAGAGCGTGAATGCTTAATGCGTGAAAAATGGAGATGGGGTGGCGCTCGCATATAAATTTTATGTCGGCTTCACATTGACATCCGACAGAGTCTTGAACGCCTCCTTGTAAGCATCGAGCAGCGCCTTGACCCGTGTTCGTTCCGACACCAGCCCCTCGTCCTCGTGGAGCATCTCCTGGAACAGCTCTGGTTTGTACAGAGAGGCGACGAGACGGTTCTGCACGTGGTACGACGTGTGGTTGACGAGGAAGTGCATGATCGCTTTTGGGACGAGGTCCTGGATGCTCTGGCGGACGATCCCAAAGTACGACGCGATGAGCGAGCGGATGAGCCCCGTCTCCATCTCTTCTCGAAGCGTGAGGTGGTTCCCATCCGCAGGAATCTTCAACAGAATCGTCAGTGTGGCACCAACGAAAATCAACTGGACCCGCTTACAGCTTCGATATGTTTCCCAAGACTCTTCATATCGTACGCAGCGTTGCTGCCGTCTCGCTGCACCGACAAACCAGACGCGATCGCCATCGTGTTGGAGTCGGCCGCAGAGACATCCCGCCCCACAGGTGCGACATTGCTAACCCCGCCACTCGACCGTGTCTGGTGCCCCACATGCTCCATAACACTTGACCCCGCAATTGGCCCCGGTCCATTCTGCCCAAAGAAGTAGTTCAAAAACGTTTCCCTGGCCGACGGCGGCGACCCGCGGTGCGTCTGCGCCAGGGCGGAATGCGGTCGTTGCTGGTTCGGGATCTTTCTTGCTGCTGGCCCGGGCAATGTAGGGGTGGACCCGGTTGACGTCCGCCCGCGGTCATGTATTGTGGCGGACACCGAGCGTTCATTGCCGCGGGTAGGGAAGATGCCATTGGGCAGGCCATTTTCATCGGACGAGTCTGCGTCCTCGTCTGTCCCAGTGCCGTTGGTTGGCTCAGTAGATGCAGGCTGGAGAAAATAAACGGTCAAGAAAGAGAGCGCCTAGAGGCAACTCACTCGTAAAGGGATTTGCCGAGCTGGAGGAGAACTGGCCTGCTGTGCGGCGACAGCTGACCCGGAAATAAAGGCGGGGTGGTTGGTATTGATGTACGCCGCCTGTATCGCGATCAAGCTCTGTGCGTACTCGGATGTGGGACCCAGTCGTTCCCGCAACAGCTCAGAAACGACCTCGATGAGCTTCGCATGCAAGCCAGGGAACCGTTGCAGCTCCTGCGAGACATCCTCAGCTACTCGGCAGCACAGATAGAGGAAAAACACTAACAGTGCTCGTGCAGTTATGGCAGATCTTGACAAGCTCCTCGTACACGAGCTCCACACACCGCAAACTCGGCGCCTCCAGGAGCTTAATCTGGGGCTTTACCAGGAGATCGAATGCAATTTCAGGGACGAAGAGACTGGGACGCGGTCCCGTGGAGTTGCGGATTGCAGTTCGGATGTCCTGGTTATCGAGGTTGGCCGTGGAATCGATCGAATCGAGCGCCTGCCCGAATACGTCGTGGAAAATATAGTATATCCTGGCGCCACCCGATAGTTCTTTTGTGGAGATATCGACCTTGGTGCCTTCGATCGAGGCAACAAAGTCGCGCGCAAACTGGGTCATTAGCCGCAGAATGAGAGCTCCTTGCTGCAAAGATCATAAGTCTTCGGTGAGCGGTATGCGGGATCACGGACTTGATTTTGGTCTCCGAAGCTGTCTGAATCTCCGAACGAATTAAGCTCCTGCTGAGCTTGGCCCATCAGGGTGTTCAGTCGCGCTTTCATATCGGGAAGCTTATCCCGAATGTGGTTCATGAGGACCTGCATCAGGTTGAATGAACATCCCGAGCGCTAAACGACGACGAATCGCACCTGGTTCAAAGTTTTCGCCAAGTATTTTGTCCCGTTCTTGTGGGCGATATTCCGATATGCGGGGTGGTTTTTGAAGAACTCGGTTTCGCTATTCAAGGCAGCATCCATGCTCTTCTCCCCGTTGATATCTTGTTGGCTGCGATTTACGACACCGATAAAGCCAAGCTTGAGGGGATAGACGCGGCCCGTTAAAATGTCCAACGCATTCGTCCCAGCATCCATCAAGTCCAGCTTCGTCAGAACACCAATCGTCCGCCGTCCCTGCGGGTCGACCTGGCGTGCGAGCTTGAGAGACTCAGAATTGGCCAGGTCAACATTGGCCGGTGATACAGAAAGGATCACGCTGCGTAGCGACGCGTAAACATTTTGGGCTAAAGCGAGGAGCGCACACGCACCTGTTTGGTTTGGTAATATAATCCAGCACCAGGTTGCGGATTTGGCGTTCAATATCACTTGGTTGATCTCCAACAGGGATCTTTCAACGCCGTCGTCAGTAAGTATTTTGAATAGCATGGTTACGCGTAGACGCACCTTGGTCAAGCCAGGCAAATCGACGAGCGTCAAGTCCAGCACGTCTGGGCTGTAAATTCGGAGTGATATAGGCAGCTTGCTGACACCCTTGTTCTGCCCCGCCACCCGGAACGTCTCCTGCTCGATCTCCTTGCGAATGTCTCCAAAGTCCGTGAACTTTTTGTCTATGTGGAGAAATTGCGCCCATTCTCGAAATGTCGGGCTGCTGGGAGACGGGTCGCTGGATTCGGGCGTGTGTATCAACTGGAGGACGAGGGGCCGGCGCGTAACGATGCCTTGGCCACGGGGAAGAAAGTCCCGTCCGACGATGCTATGCAATATGAGCGAATTGAGGCTTGAAAGTCCCCGCAACTCACGTCTCGAGAACACTGGACTTTCCTGCTGATTGACTGCCCACCTGGGGACAAGTGAGTGCTTTGAAACCTTCCAACAAAGGCAACGTACAACTACAAGTTGGGGCATGTCCAGCTCCCCTCCTGCCAAAAAAAACGGTTGAATTATGCCACTCGGTATCGAAAGTGGCTGAAAGGGCGCACCCAAATTATTGAAGGTATCCTGGAGCTTGTTCACGAGCTTGATGAGGTCCGTGTCCATGGTGCTGCGCGTGCTTTGTGCACAAGAGGTTGTGGTAGAGGAACAGGAGGTGCCGCGAAGAAAACGCGTAAAATGGTTGTTGCTCGAGGCTAGCCTGGAGCCGTGACGACGCGCCGCAACGGCAACAATTTGCGCTCGGGTTAGGGTTTCATCGCAATTTTCAATTTTTTGCTTCCGAAAGTCTGCGCAGTTTGCGGCAACTACATTCAATATGATTTATTCTATATCGAAAAGTACAACGCCGGTTGTTCATAAATAATAAGGGAAGAGTTCATTTGCAACGACTGGTATGCCAAGCGATGTAATTGGAGCCCCAGCTGCGATTTACATGGAGTTGAGAAACTTCAGCAAATCTTTCCGGTTAGCTTCTCGCTCGTCGTCGCCCTTTTCTTTCTTGACCTTAAGTTTAATCTTGGTAGAGATGTGAGTGCTCGCGTGACACTGGTGAACCGAAGTCAACAAGTACCTTTTTACCAGTCAACACACTCCTCCTCTCCTCCTTGTCCTTCTCCTTGGATCGTTCTCGCTCCTTCCTCCGCTTCCTCCGCTTTCTATCCTCCTCATCATTGTCGTCGTCCTTGTCCCGACTCCTTTGTTTGCTGCTTTTCCGGTCGCGGTCGCGTGTGGAGCCCTCGTCATCGTCTTCCTCATCCCGACTCTTTCGCTTGCTGCTCTTCCGGTCGCGCGTCGAAGAGGAGCCGTCGTAGTCCTTGTCGCGAGAATGAAAATGATACTTGTCTCCGTCCTGTTGGTCGTAGAAAATTGTTATGTTTTGCATAACAGCACCTTGCGAGGTCAAAATCTGTTATTTCTACAAGGGTTTGGGATAGACGTACCACAGAGTTGGTGCGGTGGCGCTCTCGTTCGCGATTGGGGCTCGGACTCAAAGTACGCTTGTGGCGCTGCGCATACCCATGAATGAATAAGGCTATAGCGTCGGCTTATTATAACAGGCACTGACAGATTCATGGTCGTGGCTCTCCCTGCGCAGGCTAGGACTCCGACGGCGCCGTTCACTCTACCACAAAAATAGAATTCAACGGGGTGTCATAAAGAGTCCAGGTCTGACACACCGAATGTTTTTCCTCAGTTCGGGAGCGGGACTCTGCACTCGAATCTCTTCGAGCGCGTCTAACCTAGAGCGAAACTGTAAACCTAGAAACAGGGCGGAATCAGACGACGAGACTAACGTCCGGCCGTTCCAACGACCGGTCTCGCTCGTGCCGGTGGTGCGATTCATGGTGACCAGAGCTACGGTAAGACCGGGACCCAGAGTCAGCGTGGCGAGAAGAGCGGCCATGGTGGTCGTCGCGGTAATGCGGGTTTCCGTCCGTAGAACGTCGCTCAGAAACTGGAGACCGTTCTGTTATTAGCCGTCAAAGCCATGGTGTGCACCGAGGTGGGCAGAAAGTGGGATGTCAGAGAAAGATAGAGGTGAGTCCCATTGGCTTGCTTCTCGGTGGTCGATGTATCTCACCGACTCTGGGCGCCTGAGTTTCCTTGTCGGTTTGGTCCCACCTCGATGAGTATCCCATTGGTGCACTGGTGGTTCGAGGAGAATGAACGTGGGTACAACGGTAAGGGCCGCGGCAACTTTATACGCTTCTGACGAGGTATTGATATAGCCTGAGGTTATCCTTAAAGCGTGTCTCGACTAGTATATCGGTTGAGTACACGCGCCTGTCATTCGGATGTACTCCTATGGTCGCGCGAAAGCTGGGTTCGACTCCCAGGTCGAGAGTTTCTTTTTGCATTTACTGGTACATAATTTGGTTTCCCAGATCTTTGCCTTATTTCCACTCCATTCCCCCTTCTAGCTCCATATTTAATTTTATGTAGCCCCAAATTTTGCACCTCGAGATGAGATCCAACAATCCGAAATTACTAGTGTATTGGGAACATCAACTCCGGACATTCCCCGCCCACGAATAGCCACAGGATAGCATAGAGTCGAATAGGAACCAGGAGTAAAGCCCCTCGGTGTGCACACTGCACTAATAGAGGAGCAAGAATGCAGACCGCAGCGATCACTCGTAATGATCGAGGAATTTAAACCCTTGCTTCCTGCTTACATGTTCTTGGATGGACGACCCGTGGGCCAATGCTTGGGGCGAGCCCGCAACGACCAGCAAGCTTCCCCGGGCACCTGTATTCCCTGCTGCACACACCGGAGACGATGAGGAAGACATTACAATTCCCGCCTGGGAGCCTCAGCCGTCCTGGTCAGACGGTAATAATTCCAACTCTCTCTGGGGTGCCCGCTCGCCCGCACTTGACAAGTTCCCCTCATGGCACTCTCCCTACGATGATCTTCCATTGGGCAAGTCATCATCCACGTCGCTTCCGGAGGCAGCGGATGTGCAAGAAGCTACTAATGAGGACGAGGAAGAAGCGCCTGAGCCGGAATCCGAACCCGAACCTTCGCTTGAATCTTTGCCTGAACCTGAACCTGCGTTTCAATCTGTGCGACAGTCTCCAGTTGAAAGCTCATTCGAACCGACATTCGAGCCGCCTGTAGCATCCCCAGTACTTCCTCCGAATTCGCCGCCTGGAAGTCCCGATGCGTTCGGCACCTTTGAGACTGGATTAGACAATTTACCATCGGCTTCAGACCCATGGGCGCCTTCTCATGGCGCGTCGGTACCCGACTCGGCAGACTCTGCGTGGGGTGCTGCTTGGGAGCCTTCCGACGTCCAAAAACGCGAGGACGAGGTTCCAGCTGTTGTGGATGAATGGGAGGCGGCGAAGCAGCAAAAGGCTCTGCAGGACAAGCACGTCGTACGTCTCTATTAATTTCTTCATACCCGGGTCCATCTCACCCTCGGTGAAGCCACCAGAACTGCTCGCGGCCCTACTGGTTCAATTTACCGAATTTGCAGATGACCTCTGCCCCCCGCAACCGACACCGAATCTGGACCCAGACGACTACCGGGCTAGCCGTCACAAAGGCTTGCAGGGAGTTGACTCTCTGTGCGTGTAATTCCTCAAAAAAATATGAGCGGAGCTAACGCAGCCCACTTCTAGGAACCCCACTATAATGCGCCTCATGCCCACAGACCTCACTCTCCCTCCGCCGCGCCCCTTCCAAAAATCCATCACTGCCAAGCACACCACGGACGCTCTACGCCTTTCACGCAGCGCCGGATTCGTGCGCTTCAGCCCGCTCAGTCACTACGGCGCGACCAAAGGCTCAACCGCATGGGAGGCGTCCGTCAAAAGTCGGCCCGAAGTCGTGGCAGAACCAGATTTGTTACCGCCAGGATGGCGCATCGTCGAGACGAAGAAGGACGCGCCGGTGACGGACAAGAAGAAAACAGGCCACGGGGGACTGCTTTCGTTCTTCGGTCGTCGCACGAGCACACCCCCGGTTGTGGGTGGGGAAGGCGCGATTCCGCGCTCCTCTTCGCCAGCATCCACATCTTCTCCGCGCGCGAGCCTGGATAGCAGCGCCAAGTCCCCGACTTCATCCACAAAGTCGCCTACTACTAAGTCACCTACCACTACTACTACTTCCGCTGCTACCTCCGCTGCCCCTTCTGCTCTGGTAAGCCCTACTACTTCAATTAGCAGTGCGCCACCGCCGCTTCCTGTGGTCCCCGTTGTATCGCAAACAGACCCAGCAGCAGCCGCGGAGCCGGATCCGGTCGCTCCCGTCGCCGCGCCATCTGCCGTCTCACGCTTCCTGGGACGCTTCGGGCGCAAGGCCCCGGATGTGGGGAGACGGCAGAGTCTCGCGCTGTCTGAGGGCGACTTTGACTTCCTCGACGACATCGACGGCTCCGCTACAGGGTCCAGCGTCAGCTCTGGTTCGGACTTTGCGATCAGCGGCGTACTGCTCGATGACCCGGTACCGCTACCTGCGAAACTCGCGCCACCACCCCCCGCGCCGCGGGTGCCCGTGCAGAATCCTATTACCGCAGCTCCACACACCGGCCATGAAGGCCGGCCTTCTGGCGATCCTAATCGTGATGAGCTGGCAATTTTCGGGACATTTACACCGCCTGCTGTAAGGCCTTTTACTCCGCCTCTTGCGAAACCCTTCGCTCCTCCCCTTGCGCAAACCAGCTCTGCACCAACTCCAACGCCAATACCAGTGCCTTCCAGTATGTCGCCCGTCGATTCGGATGTTGATTTCTCGGCGTGGGGCTTTGACGAGGAGGACAAGAGCAGCGGGATGGCGAGAACAGAATCGGAATCTGTGGGAATTGCCCGACCGCCGCCGAGGCAGACGTTCAACACGAGGGCTGCGACGAACGCTCGGGGTACTGCACCCCCACCACGACGAGTGATCGCGATCATGTCTTCTGGGTCGTCCAAGCCTCCGTCGGCGATACCCAAACTGGACGGGTCGTTCGGGTTCCTGCCCCCACCACGGGCAGCACCAACTGTCGCTCCAATGCTGGCTCCGCCGCCTGGGACCAGGCCTCTAGTCAAACCAAAGGCGCTATTGGACGACGACGACTTCTCGGATTTCCATGCCCCCGCACCCGCGCAGATCACCCCCGCCGCGTCGTCCAACTCCTTCTACGACACGAGCTTCTCGTCCTCCACCTCCTCCGAGCGCGGGCTCTTCTCATCGACATCATCCTCCACGTCGGTCCCGACGAACCTCTTTGACGACTTTGACGACTTCCTGCAGGCGTCGCCACACGAGCCCACCACGCTCCGTACCCCGTCTCCGCCGCGCCCGCCCGCCAAGTCCCCCCGCATCCTGGCCCCATCCCCCGCGCCGCTGTCTTTCGGCGCATCCGACGACATCAGCGACGACACCCCGCTCGCGCTCACACGGTCGTCGCTCCAGCAGCAGCGCGCGGCGGCGAGTCACCAGCGCGCGCTCAGCCTCGTCGAGAGCGCCGCCGCGAGCTCAGGTGTCCGCTGGCCCGCGCCCGAGTCGCCCCTCCCCGAGGCGCTCGAGCCGCCGCCCGACGCGTCGGATCCATTTGGCTTCAACACAAAGTCAACGATGCAGTCGCAGCAGGCGGCGTTCCTGCAGACCGCGCCGCCGCCCGCGCTGAAGGCGTCGTTCTCCGCGCCGCCTCCCCCCGCGCCTGTGCCGATTCGCGCGCTGTCGCCGCCTGTGCTATCTCCGCCCCCGCAACCTCAAAAGACGCCCACACCAACGCCCATGGCGCGTTTCCCACCTCCGCCAGGCTCGGCGCCGATGCGTGCGTTTTCGCCGCCCGTGCCGTCTCCGGTGCAAAAGGCTGCTTCCGCGGCAACGCCTATAGCGCGCTTCCCGCCTCCCCCAGGCTCAGCGCCGATGCGTGCGTTTTCGCCGCCTGTACCGTCTCCGCCTATGCAAAAGGCTGCGTCCGCGGCACCTACGGCGCGCTTCCCGCCTCCACCAGGCTCGCGTGCTTTTTCACCGCCTGCACCGTCGCGGACGCCCACGCTGCTACCCCCACCGCAAAATGGCGCGCTTTCACCGCCGATGCTGACCTCGCAGCGGCAGGCGCCTGCTGTGCCGACACCGCCGCCGATGACCTCAGCTGGGTCGGGCAAACCGTCGGGTGGGCTGTCTGCATCGGACCTTTCCTTCTTCGAAGGGCTGTAGACTTTATTACTTACGGTCAATAGTATTATTTAATGTAATAACCTTGAAAGACCTTGAAGCTGAAGCTTAAGAATCAAGCAAGAGAAAGCAGATCTCAAAATCCAGCAAAATCCAGCGACATGCAGCATAAATTGAACATGGTCATAAACGCTACATACAATGCCCAAAAGCGAGAGTGGAGACAGACATCTACTCTTCCTCCTCGTCTTCGTTTTGGCTGAGGAGGATCTGAGTTAAAAGAAGCGTGAATGCGACGAAAAAACATACACAGCGTTGTATCGGAGCTGGTAAACGTCCTTGGACGGAGCAACGACGCGGACCCAGTCGCGGATCGAGTGCTTTTTGAGGAACTTCTTCGTCAGGTATTTGAGGTAGCGCTTGGAGAAGTGGATCGACGTTGTTACGGTCAATTTTGAGCCGGCGTCTGGATGCAAAAGTCAGTTTCTTTTCAAGAATTTAGATACGCGTGAACGCACTGTCGCGGACAATTTTGACATTGTCGCCGAGCTGGCCTGCCTTGCCCTCTACCTTGATGCGGTCATGGAGGAATTTTTCAAAGTCCGCGCCGTCGAAGATGCCGTCTGCAGCGGGCTTGGAGTAGTCAATGACGAACTTGTGCTTGGAGACGGTCTTGGTGGGGGCGGCTTTGGGCTGGGAGAGAGAAAGAGGAAATGAGCCTACTGAGAAGGGAACTCAGCAAAGCATTTGTACGGACCATCGTGGCAGCTGGAAGAAAAAGTCAGTTGCTTGAATTGACACGAGTGGCGGTGCAAATACTGGCCAGTCAGAATGATCCCATCAGTCAAAGAGCTCATAATAAGAAATCCTCAGCATTTCAAACTCCGAACTGACTTTTTCCCTCCAGCCATGTCTTCTAAACTTTCAGTGTCGAGCGTGCGCGGGTCCATCAAGGGCCTCCTGGCTGATGCCACCGGCGAGAAGAAACGCAACTTTGTCGAGACTATTGAGCTCCAGATTGGCCTCAAGAACTACGACCCCCAGCGTGACAAGCGTTTCTCGGGAACCGTCAAGTGCCTCTTTTTTGCAAGCAAAAAAGAATCATTCTTATGCTTTCTAGGCTTCCCAATGTCCCCCGTCCCCGCATGTCCATCTGCATTCTTGCGGACGCGGCCGACATCGATCGCGCAAAACAGATCTCGCTCGAGTATATGAGCGTCGACGATCTT